GATGCGACATCCAATCATATTGTTGCCAGTCCATACCCCGTAAATTCATAGAGAGTCCATACCTGTAGCTTCATAAGGTCTCTTGTCACATTCAATGCTCATGTCACGTTTATTGATGACAAAGATTGTACTGCCCATAACCAGGTGTGTACTACTATAAATATGGCTGATACTCTTCCGAAGAAAGGGACAAAAAACCGACATAAAAGAGACAAATAATCTCTCTCAATCAATATATCATTTAAAGGGTTTTGACCCAACCCGAGTTGCGAACCCGAGCTCTCATTTTGTCTATTTTACCTTGTGTTGTCGTGTTTTGTTTTACTCTAGTTATACTTCAAAATCAATAAATTGTTACTATTATTGCCCAAAAGTAAGGGGCAACGGTTTGACAATAGAAGGAGACCGCACATTGCTTGAGGTAATCTTTGACTTAAACACCACTTAAAAACAAGAAGAATGTTGTCACCTAGGCAAGAAGATCAACATGAAACATCCGCAGCTGAACAAACCCGTGGATGAGTGCCAGCCACAGACTTCAAAGCTTTATTTCAAAACCAAGACTTTATAAAAGGTTTTTCCAACCTCTTGCCACAAATCTTGCCAACAACGTCACACGCATCGAAAACTCCGGCAAAAAAAAGACCTTAACACCGTGTTGAACAAAGGAAAGAAAGTTGTCCAGTAAAAAAATGCTTCACAATCGTGAGATGACCACACTAAAAACCAGAAAGACAAGACCGCTGACCAAGAGGGAGGAGACTGGCGAGAGTAGGTCGGATACTAGTCTCCGAACTAGGTCTACTTCCCCCTCTGTTTTCTACCGTGCTGACGAAGTGACTACCTTGAGGAATAAAGTTGTCAAGCTTCAAGCTAGTGGATCGGACCTCATCACCTTTGCCCTTGCGCATTCGGTCTTGCCCTCGTCATCCGACATCCTACGTGACCCCCTCCCAAATAAAATCTAATTCCAACCTGCGCACCCTAGGCACTAGGCCCCAACCCACCGCCGAGACACTTAGGGCTTGATTGTTTACAAGTTAATTTATCCATATTTATTCCATACTCTAAATCTAACTCAACTTTAACTCAACATCGTTATCTTTAATATTATTCATATAATTGAATAATGCAAACCGATCATTCTTACACATCACATCAATTTTAATTCACTATTCATCAACTCATATAATTTTAACTATCTATCATTTCCAATCATTATTTCCTACTTTTACATTAAATCAATTTTAATTATTTATTGTAAATTATTTTGATGCATTCTTAAAGTTCCCCTAATAACTAAACCCTACCACATTTTCCAAATTAATTATGGTCAACCGATATAACTCAGTTTGAACGGATTATTTGATAAACAAACGCGCCCTTAACTTCTTAAAACCTTGCACATATGAATAAAGACAATGTTGCAAACTTGCTAGTGTCTTAGATTCGCCAAAAACGTTTCAAGTCGCAGGGAAAGCATACAGGGGCGGAGCCAGCCTCATCATTCACCGGGGTCAGCAATATTTTTTAGTGGGGTCATTAACCTAGTAAACAGTGTTTGAACAGTATTTTATACTAAAAATTTTGAAATCTATAGGGGTTAGCTGACCCCAGCGGCAAGGTGCAGCTTCGCCCCTGAAAGCATATGTGCAAATGACAAAACTGCTAATTCAATGTCTATGTGAACCATGTCATGTATTTAAATAGGAAAACTCACTCTTATTTTTCCATTTTCCTTTTCTTCCTTCTTCAAACCATCCCTATTCGGCTCTCACTCGATTGCCAAACCCCTAGATGAGGTTCACCAGTAGGTTCTGAGAACCTTGTGACCAGTCATGCAAGCCAAACAGAAAGGGCTCCATCGAGTCCTTGAGGTAATTATAAAAAATCAGGTTTTGTGCCAGGTCGTTACACAAAAACTATACCGTAAGCAACTCACATTTCATTTACTTCTATAAACACTCGGTAGCATTTCATCTGCTAAATAATTATTTCAACGAACTCGTAAAAACAATCACCAGCATGGCAGCATGCACAATTTTCATTCCACATATCTTGTGAAACAGAGGGTCTTGTACATTTGTGATTTGTGAATACACAGTATCACAAACCTTACACAATCAATACAGCTATCACTATTAATTATCAAGATCATCCAATCGCCTTTTCCAGAAATACTCTTCCTGCTCGCACTCCATTATATCATCTTCAATTTTCTTGCTCACGAGCTGCATGGCACTCACGCGATTCTCAGCCTCCTTAAACCGCTCTTTTGCGAGGAAAAGCTCGGCATGCCTTCTTTTCAACTCCTTAACGGCTACCTCAGTCACGAGTCCTATCTTCACCTTTGTTTCCTTGAGCTGGAGGGATTTCTTAGTGAAGCCCATGATATCACGGAGTTTTGCTAAATGATCTTTCAGCCAAGTCACGTTGATCCCGCTGGCCTCCAAATCCAAAACCTCATTTTCTATGTCTTCGAGTTCGGACAAGATGGCCTCAACACCATGGTGATGCAGTTTTCGAATAATGTCGGACATGACCTCGAGCAGAGAGGCCCGGACAGATGTAGATTTGTAGATGCAACAAGACATGATGTCACCATATTTTGCAAATGTCGCCTCGAGAATTGGTGCAGAATTGGATTTTACTTTGTAGCCATTGAGACTGACCAGATTGTCGTGGCTCGAGTCCACTGACATTTTCGAATCAATCGGTGAACTATCAATCTCTGTTTTCGGCTTTCGAAGATCAGTAGACCTGTAGGAAATTAATTGGACCAAGAATTATCATGATTAAATTGAGGGCTCGATTTTTCCCAATTGTTTTGAAGTATAAATTCATGCGTAGGTTGTACACATACGGTACTGGATTTGCGGAAGGAGTCCGATGTTCAAAAGATTGACCCTGAAAGAAAAAATTTAGTCCTTAAATGACCACATCAGTAATTAATTTTTAGAACTGAGTAGGGTTTAGAAGTGAAGTTTTAGGTCAATACAGGTTTAAGATTGCATAGGCGTTGCAACTACATCTTACTGAAACCAGTTGTAACTTGTAAGATTCTTCTAATATGAGATTTTCATATTGATCCCAAAATAGGAAAGAAGATTCTTAATTTTGATGTGTCATAGAAAACAGCAAGCCATCCTTAAGCACAAAAAGTTAAAAGTTTTAAGAACAGGCTAACCTTATGCTTTTTCACTACATGCGGACATGCACTTTTGTCATCATCAGCATACCTGCATATATGTGTCCGTTTATACCAGGCATGATGATTTAGAAAATAAATGCCTTCAAGCCATGCACACATGAATGACATGATCGAAACCCTTGTTCAATTTTTCATTGGTTATATTCATCACAATACAAATCAGATCACTGAGCCACATAACAGCTCTTTTCGAAAAAAAATGGAAATGGGTAAATTGCACCAAACCCCCTATGTTATATGAAATGTGCGCGTTACTACCCTGTGTTTTAAAAACTGCACCAGACCCCCTTATGTTTAAGTACGTGTTGTACACGTTCCCGTTTTTTAATCTCTCCATTAACGACGTTAGTTTTTTTTATCAAAAGCCCCGTTATACCCCCTGAATATTATATGTAATATTATATATATTTACGATAAATTAATTGTCCCTGGGGTTCGATCCTGAGTCCTTATGGAAGCAAGACAAGTAATGCAACCACCACACCACTCAAGGTTGAGCGCTAGATGTAGTAAAATTTAATATATATCACATTACATATGGATAAATGAAATTAAATTTAGAAGGTAATGTAAATTAAATTAAACTGAATTATTAAAATATAAACTTATAATAAATTAAAATATAATAAACTAAATTATAAAAATTAAACGAAAACAATAATTAAAATAACTTATTATATTAAACAAACACAAAATAATTAAAATTAAATTATAAATAAATAAAAAAAATTACAGTTATATTATAATAATATTTAATGTATTTCTTTTATATTATTTTTATTTTTATATTTTATTATTTATTTTAATTTATATTATCCATATTATTTTGTTTCATTATTCATTTAATTTTATCTTAGTAATTTATTATTTTGTTTAACTTCATACAATGAAATAAGATTAACTTTTTTTTAATAAATAAAATTTAGAAATTACAATTATCTATTTACATTAGAATTATTTACTAAAAAATTATAATTTTTTTATTCATATTGTATGTAAGAGAAAACCATATTAAAATTATTTGATAAATAATATTTTTTATTTTCTTATATTATTTTTGTAACACCCCCCTATCTTACTAGTATCAGAGTCAATTTTTCGCAAAATCTTTTCTAATAAAACTTATAAATTTGCGAAATCAAAAATCGGAATGCTACTAAAACTTTTTTGTTCTAAAAACCCATT